AAAAGTGATTGCAGCCCCCCTGGCGAGCTCGGAGTCTACGCTAGCAGACAAATTCTCCAAAATGCATTGGTTTTGCCTATCTCCGTGCGAGGTGACCAACGAAAAAAAAAACTGTCAGGGACATTCGCTGCTTTGAAAGTAAAAAAAAAAAAAAAAATGGGTGCCAGCTCATGAGTGAAGGACATTCTCTTCGCGTGGGGAAGATGTTACAGCTTTCTGGGTGCAATTTCGGAGTTCTCCGGAAGAAAACATTCTGTCACAACTTGTGTAAGCCAAGCAAAACAGGAATGTATGCCTTCGCGCTGTTTCGTGAAAAGGACAATGCACAAACATTTCAGAACATAGCTTCGTTTCAACTTTATTGTTCTTATCAGTCAATTCGCTTTGTTGTTGCAATTCCCATTTCTCATGAATGTCTTGCTTATAACCGTTTCGTCGAACAGGCGAGCTGGCTAATCCCGTTAAGATCGTCTCCGGATGAAGAAGCAGAAGTCAATTCCGAACGACGTACGTTACGGCGATGTCAGTATTCTCCGAAAGAAGTCGTTGTGCATATGCAAATCTGACGCGATTATAGATTAACAAAAGCAGAGTTACGAAAAAAGCAGACTTCTCGCGCTTGCAAAGAAAGAAGGGGAGAGCGTCGTAGCCCTGCGAAAAAAAGGTGATTTCAGTCACGTTATTTACAGTGCACAAAATTCCGATTGTTAGCGCGGGGACGACCAACATCTTCTGCTTTGCTGCTTCTTTACTTCTACGATAAAGGCCGACACCCGTTGAACCGTCTCCACTCCTTCCATTTTTGAGTCTTCTTTCTTTTATACTTTTTGAGGGGACCGCCCCTCTGCCGCGTTATTTCTTCCTATATGTATGAGAAACGTTTATTGGGCAAAAGACACAACTGGCAGTTGCGCTAGGGTAGCGCCAGAGGGGGGAGGGGATGTTGGGCTATTCGGGTAGAATCTAATTAGATGTCGTCTCCCAGGCCGGTCTTCTCTAGGCAGGTGAGGACACTGCCCAGGATGATTTTTCTTCTCGCAGCCTCCCCGAACGGGTTGAGCCAATCTTGAAGCGTGGGTGGTCGGTCATGTGGTTCGAGTTGTTCGAGTGTTGCGTGTCTTGCCTCATCGTGCTGTTTGCACTCCCTCATGAGGTGTTGGATGTCGGCAGGTGTGTGCTCCTTACAGTATTTGCACTGATACGGATCCAAAAAAAAAATCTGGATTTTTGCTAGCTTTTTTTTTGTCTTCCCATTTCTTGAGGACTGACGGAGTGATCGCTGATCCTGTTTGAAGCTTTCTTAAACGAACCGTTTCATCCCTTTTGAATCCTGATGGCATTCCGTACTCTGCTTCTTTCTTCTTGTGTGCAAGCATTTTCTTGATCGCATTTTTGGCGATGTCGATGGCTCTTATTGGGTCATAGATGCCAGGCCTGGGGTTTTCCTGTTCTCCGGTATTTTTGCCTGGTGAAGGGTGGGAAGTCGTCAGGCCACTGCAGCAAAGGTTTGAACGATGAAGCTCCCTGGCAGCAGCGTTGACGATCTCATTTCCCTTAATCCCCTCATGTCCGGGAATCCACCTTATGGAGGTTTTAACATTCTTCATCTTGAGTTCAATGGCAGTTACTAGGACGTCTTTAATCACAGTGCTTGTTTCGAGGTGCGTTTTGCATGCTCTGATGACATCCTGCGAGTCCGTGAAGAAGCAGAAGTCAATTTCGAACGGCGTACGTTACGGCGATGTCAGTATTCTCCGAAAGAAGTCGTTGTGCATATGCAAATCTGACGCGATTATAGATTAACAAAAACAGAGTTACGAAAAAAGCAGACTTCTCGCGCTTGCAAAGAAAGCAGAGTTGCTCGGTAACGATTCTCCTATGTTTTGTAGCGCAGATGCAATGGCCCTGGCTTCTGCTTCTTTTGCTGTGCCGCAGGTAACGGTTTTCGTTTTCGTAATTTCCTCTCTAGGGACATGCCATGCTATTGCTGTTCCTTCATCTGAGTGATCCGCATTGGTATAGCATACTGTGACGTTGGGATCGTCTAGAAGTACTTCCACTTCAGCTTCGTGTTGCTCAGCTTTCCTTGTTACCTTTGCCCATTTTTTGAGGGATGGGCTTGAGCTCGGTCACAACAATTCTTTCCCAGGGTGGGAGGTGATCAGGGATTCTTCCTTCATCTTCGCAGTCTCTGTCTAGTAGCTCGCCAATGTAGCGTCCTTGTTTTGTATGCTTAAGCTTGAGGTTTTGTATCTCTTCCTGTTGTTCCGCCATTTCCGCAAAACTTGGGAAGGGAACACACTCGTGGAGCTTCTCTAACTTGGTGTTCCTCGGGAGGCCAGAAATGCACCTTCGTGCTTCGTTTAGGAGGGTTTCCAATTTTGCCATGTGTTTCTTCTGTAGTCTGTAGAACCGCAGCCCATACAGCACCTTAGATATGAGTGCCACTTGTACAATGGTTCGGGCAATACGCTCTCCGATTCCTCCGAGCTTGTTTGCTATTCTTCTAATTATCGATAGTCCTTGTTTCCACGTGCTCGTAATCTTTCTGATCCAGGTTGTGGGGTTAAGGCTGGAGTTCAGGTGAATTCTAAGAATTGTGTGTTCTTCGGTTTTATTAATCTTGTCTCCATCGAAGGTGAGGTCTGGTGTAACATCTTTCCAACCGTGGCCGAACACCACGAATTTTGTCTTCTCCGCAGAGGGTTTCATGCCGGCTTCTTTGAGGAATTCCTCGATTGCGGCTAGTCCTCGCTGCAATGTTTCCATTTGTTCTGCATTTGTTCCTGTGACGGTCCAGATGGTGACGTCATCAGCATATATTGTAAAAAAAAAGTCCGTCGATTTCTTCAAGCTCCCATGCAAGGGGAGTCATAGCTAAGTTAAAGAGAGCTGGCGATAGTACCGAGCCTTGCGGTACCCCTGTTTTGTTTTCCTTGGTGTTACTCTCATGGGTTCCTGCCTTGATCTTGTATTTCCTACCCTGAAGGAAGGTTTTTACTAAGTTTAGCGGTCTTCCAACAATGCCTTGGTCTTTTAGCGTTCTGATTATTGTGGTGTGGGGTAGCAAGCCGAACGCTTTTTCTATATCTACTGTCACTAGCATCCTTGTCTGGGGGTGTTTTGGCTTGTGCTTTAAGATGCCTTCCCTGATAAGTAGCAGGGTGTCATGTGCTCCAAGATTTTTCCTAAACCCAGTTTCGGCAGGGTGGTAGATGTTGAGCTTATCTGCTAGCCAGTCGATTCTCATCAGCGTCATCCTTTCGACCAACTTGCATAGGGCAGACGTGAGCGATATTGGTCTCGTGTTTTGAGGTTTGTCAGCAGCCTTGCCAGCCTTTGGGATCGACGGGACCCATGACAGCTTCCATTCTTCAGGCATTTTTCCGTTCTTCCAAATCTTATTGATTTCCTCTAGAAGTATTTCTTTCGTTTGATCAGGGAGATTCTTGAGCATGCTGTTGCTAATGGCATCTGGCCCAGCGGCACTTCGAGTCCTGCTCTTTTCAATCGCCGCCTCCATTTCCCACATTGTGAAGTTTGCGTTGTAATCTTCCTCATCGTTGATCATCCCCGGCTCATAGATGGTTTCGCTAGGAACTTGTGCCGGTTGTGGAAAGAAAACGTCACCTGTCTCTTCCAGCACTTCTTCTATTGTTTTGTCGCTGTTGAGTGCGATGTTTGGTACTGCGTTTGGTTCTTTTCTTTTGCCCCGCATAGAGTTGCATATCGACCACATTTTGGCGAGAGTCGTGTGTTCGTTAAAGGATTCGCAAAGGTCCAGCCAGTTTGTCTGGTTCAGCTTGCTTGCATATATCTGTGCCTCTTTTACCAGCTGGTTGGCTTCCTGGAGATCTTTCCGCTTTCTTTCTGCTCTATACATGTTCAGGTGTTTCACTCTTTTTTGCCACAATGACAACAGTCTCGTGCCTGGGGTGGGACCATTTACATCAATGAGTTTCCTTACTGTAGCTTTTTGAGTTGCTTCCCGGAGCGCGTGCGTGAAATCGTTGATATCTTGAATTTGGTACTCAGTACATACAGCCAACCTGAACGTGTTCCAGATGACTGTTTTCGATTCTCTCTTACGTTTTTCGACTCCATTTTCTTTTACGCCTACTGTAATGGGGTAATGGTCACTGCCCCATGTGTCATCTTCCCTTCTCCATTCTACCACGGTGAAGTTTGTGGTGACGGTGAGATCTGGCGTAGAATCTTGTTGCCGCTCGCTCTGTCCGACTCGAGTGCGCTCTCGTGGATCGTTTAGTAGCGTGAGCCCCGCGCTGCTTCATTCCTCGTATATGTCTTGTCCCTTTTTTGTTTCATCATCATGACCCCAGTAGCTGTGTCTCGCATTGAAATCACCACCGATGACTATATGGTGGTCATGGAAGTCCCTCATCATCTGGCTCATCCAACTATTGTCGTCGTCTGCGTTCGTCGGTCTGTAGTATGCAGATATTAAGATAATTTTCTTCAGCCCAAGAGTGGTTCGCACTGCCACCACTTCTTGCGTTTCTGTACACCACATTGATGTATCTAGTTGCTGATGCGGGTAGCTCTTCTTGAGCAAGACCGCAGCTTGCGCCCTGATTTTTGGGACTCCTCCGCGTATATGTACAATTGATGGGGAGTGAAATCCCCGGTAGCCTCTTAATCCTATGTTCTTGTCGCCAACTTCTTGTAGTAACACAGCGTCCCTTGGTTCGTCGTTCAGCTTCATATTCAGTTCCGCTTTTTTAGTATTGAGGCCTCGACAGTTCCGCTGAAGTACGTTAAATGTCGTAGCTTTATTAGCACGCGCATTTGTGGGTTTACGCTGCATGCTGAGTTGGTAGTTGCATGTTCTGCGTGTTGAGTTGTGCTTCTTGTGCTTGAACGTGCCCGAGGGCTAATTCAAATTGCTGGCGTAATTGTTGTATCGCCGCTTGCATTTGTTGTTGGTGCTGTTGGAGAGCCTGTTTCAGGGCTTGAATTTCTTCCCCTACGCCGCTCTTCATCTATTGCGGTGCTCGTTCTTCCTGCTGTGCCGAGAGGACTGGAATCGCCTGCCTCTGTTCTTGTCGTTGTTGCGCTTCATGTCTACGCTGCTGTTCGGCTTGTCGTTTCTCTTCTAGTTCCGCCAGTCTTTGGTGACGAAACCTTTCTTCTTCCTGTTTTCTCTTTTCAATTTGCACCCGCGTCGTCTCGATGCGCCTTTCCTTCTCGATAAGACGTCGTCTGATTTCATCCAATTCCTTGCACATTTCGTTAAGCTGTTCTTCTGTCAAGTTCGAAGAGTTTACTTCGTGGCTTTTGTGGGGCCGCATCATGTTGCCTTTCGTTTGAAGGGATTGTTGGTGCGTCTGCTGACCGGTCGTGCCCTGCGACAGCTGCTCGAGCGGAGGGAATTCCTCCACGTTTTGAAGCGGTAAGAATCGGTTCCCGTTGGTTCTACCTTGTACTGTCTCACTGGTGCGGGGTGGTGTTGTGATCTTCTTGGTTTGCGTCAGCGGCGCTTTTGCTCTCTTCTGAAGACGCGTATCTGCATTTTTCTTGGCCAGCCAGCCGCCGTCTAGCGCTGTGTGGCCTGATACCTGGCAGTTTACACAGTATGTGTCTTCGCACTGCTCCTCCTCCGGGTGTGTCTTACCACACTTCTTGTACCTTTGTTGCCCTGTACAGACTGCTGCCTTGTGCCCGAACCCGTGGCATTTGAGGCAAATGACTGCCGTCGCAAGCAAAAAAGCGCCGAAAAAAATACAGGGACACAGACGAAGGGAAACAGGACAAGGCGCACTCTCAACTGATGTTTATTGAAAGTTCACACGTTATATAGCCACACACACACACACACAAAAAAAAAATCTTTTCTTTTCTATCTACTCAGCCCGCGTTTCAAAAATTAAAACTCATTTGTAGACAAGGATACCGACGTGTCACTTATACAATTCTTGTCTCTGGTCCTAATTGCATACGCCTCGTGTAATTCCCGCGACACTTTATCTTTGTATCTAGCCAAAATCTTGGTGTCATTGAAGGCCGGGGTGCAAGAGCATCTATTGCAATGAATTGCAAGATGCCCCGAAGGCGTCGTTCTTGAAGAGGCAGCGTGCTCTCGGGTGCGATCATTAACGCACCTGCCCGTCTGGCCCACGTGTGTCATCCCACACGTCATGGGGATTTCATAGACGACGCCAGTGGCACATTCAACGTACTTATTTCGATGTTTGGTAGTGCAGGGATCTGAAGATGGCTGTGGTGAATTGATCTGGCGACAAAGTCGCGCCATCTTATTGGGTGCTGAAAAAGCTACCGGTACATTGTAGCGCTGGGCTACCTTTTTCAGATTGTGCGTTACATTGTGCATATATGGAATGACAACAGGCCTCGTGGTCGGTCTATCGCTGTTTGATTTCCGATTACCTTTAATCTTTTTGATTAAGCTTTCAGCCACTTCAACCAAAGCTCTCAACGGAAAACCAGCCCTCTGCAGGCGTTCTATCTGACCCTCGAAGCTGCCTTGCGCACTGTGCAAACATGACTTTCTGAGAGAAGCCCCCAGGCACGAACTGGCTATGCCCCTTTTCACTACCTTCGAGTGGGCGGAATCAAAAGGAAGGATGCCCTTCCTAGTTCGAGGCGCGTACTTCCAACAAACATGGTCCCCAAAAAACGACAGCTCGAGGTCCAAGAATTGCAGTTTGCTTTCTTTTTGTAACTCATGCGTGAATGTCAACCCGGAGCAACACAATTTAAACACGTCTAGCAACTGAGAGACTTCACTGCAAGGGGGCTTCGCCGAGCGGCTAAGGATGAGGAAATCGTCGACGTACCTGAAGATCTTCACATTGTCATCGTTCGAAATGTTCAAAGCGATGTTTTTTCCACAGCTGCCTAGAAAAATGTCACACAAAACAGGTGCAACACTGGACCCGATGCAAACGCCTTTTCTTTGCACATAAAGACCCCCCTCGAATGACGCAAACGTATGTTTTAAGTAAAAAACCAGGAGCTCAAGAAAGCTATCAACACTGATGCCCGAAGAATTCTGGAAAGCGACAACTTCGTTCTGGTCTATGCATTGTCTCACCGCCGAGAATAGGGGTTCATGAGGAATCGAGTAAAATAAATCCTCGACGTCGATGGAAAACCCACTGCGCATGCACTGGCCCCCTTGCCTCAAAAATTCAATGACACATTCTGAATTTCGCACTATGAACGGGTCATGCAACTCAAGCGCGCACAACTGTTTGCGCAGGAAATTACCCATGTGAAACTGCCAAGCGCCTCTTTCTGTAACAATGGCCCTAAAGGGAACTTCAGGCTTATGTGTTTTAGCAGTAAAGAATATGTCGAGGTTCAATTTCTTACTCGACTTCACGCTCTTTAGCAACCCCGATAGTTCCAATTTGCTGCATAAGTCCTGGGCCCGAGATTTCACCTTTGACAAGGGTCCCGGAGAGACTCGCTTGAAATTCTTGTCGATGGCCTGGCTTGCCTTCGCACCGTACAGAGCGGATGGAGTAACGACGAATCCTCCTTCCTTGTCAGCAGTAACCAGCTTGAGGTTGTGTTCCGAAAAGTAGGTGACGATGTTGCTGGTCTTGAAGCTTCTCGTTGATTGGCCAGCGGTGCGTTGGAGAACGTCCACGCCGTCGGCCACGCATCGTTCTTGGTGCTCAGGCACAGCCAAGCCGCCCATCCATCTCACCAAGGACAGCTTTGTGACGGGGCACAATCTCGGTTCCTGGCTAAACTTTGGTCCGTGGTCTAAGGCAGACTTGATGTCTGTGGTAAAGTGGCACCTCCAAGAATGGTGACACCCTCTTGCTTCCTGACGCTACCGGCACTCTTCTTCACCAGCGAAGTCCGGACTTGCTCCCAAAGCACATCTGTGTATTGTGCCGCTGTTCGAAGGTGTTTTCTGAAGGCTTGTTCCGCAGCGTGTGTCCCGGCACCAGAAGAATAGCACGTGATCTTCAAGCAATCCCTGTACCTCTCAACTTGTTTCCAGGTCTCAGACCGGAGAATTCTGCAAATTCTCCTGGCATGACCAGTAGAAGGCTGGACTCCGTTGAAGAGGGAGGTCACTTCACATGGATAGCATCCACGGCGAATGGCATATGAAAGGTGTCTGGCTCGACAGCACGAGAGGGCGATAAGGTTAATTAATGGATAAACGGATTGATGGCTGTTAGGAGAACATAGAACAGAGCCCGTTGCAAAAGAAATAAACTGCAGTAAAGTGGAGATTTGGGCCAGTTGGTTCATTGCAAGCAAAAAAGCGCCGAAAAAATTACAGGGACACAGACGAAGGGAAACAGGACAAGGCGCACTCTCAACTGATGTTTATTGAAAATTCACACGTTATATAGCCACACACACACACACACACACACACACAAAAAAAATATTTTCTTTTCTACAACATCAACATGTACACGTACAGACCGACTGCCGTCGGTCTGTACGTGTACATGTTGATCAGCCTGGTGCGGTAGCTTATCTTTCTAGGGATTCCCTCACCATCGAAGGTAAGCAAGAATGTGCCCTTCTTGCCAATAGGTCTGGCATGAATTATGTTGTGGTAGTCGGAGTCGGAGTTCTCGACAATGTCTTGTGCCGTCGTTTCAGGCTTCATGCCGTGAATTACACCGCGAGGCATGGTGCCCGTAACCGAGCGGTAGGCGCATGCCTCCACAATCCGGCCGTTGTCGGTCACAAGTGCCTTGAGTTGCATTATGTCCCTCGCATGCCTCTCGTCGTAGACTGTTACGGCAATCGTGTTGTTCCTTGGATTAACGACGTTCGAGAGCCTGTCTCGGTTACATGGTACGATGAGTACCGCTCTGATCTGATCAAGTAGCAGCTTGGGTGAAATGTCCGTAATCCTGATTTGTTCTTTGGGCTTGAGGACAATCACCGTCTTTGGTAGGTCAAAACGTTCTATTCTCGTACCTTTGGCCGGCTTGGGCTTCTTGTAGTTGACAGTTGACCACCGTGCATTCCCGTCAGCTTCGTGATCCTGTCGTTCATCATCGTCGTTAGGCTCCCTCGCCTGGTCTGTGTCCAATTCGTCCGCACTGTCGCTGCAGGCGTCGCTGTGAATGCGCTTCTTGGGGTGTATCATCCGTCGTTCTTCTTGCGGGTCTTCTTCCATCCCGTTCTTTTTGACAGAGGGCCGGTCAGCCCTCTGCCTCTCCTCCATCAATGCCAAGCGTTCGGTTGGTAACACTTAGGCCTAGCATCGGCGGCTTGCGAGGCGAGTTCAAAATCGTCAGGCTTGAGTATTTTACTCACCGCCTCTTCCTGGAGCTTCCCGTTGATTTCGGATGGCTTCTGTTCCTTATTTCAACATTTGGTTGCACTAAATCGGTCAAATATTGCGTCAGACCTAGCAAACTAGCGGAGCTCGAAAAGAACAACTTTCCCTCCAGATAGCTGTTCTTCCAACTCTATTTCTTCCTCCTGCTTATATGTTGCTGTGTATATTTTTTTGTTTTCTTTTTGCTTTCTTTTTTTGCCCGACGTGCAAATTATCGCGTATCCTTGCTTTGTTTGGCTTAGTTTTTACTCCCTTTCCTTCGCTTCGGCGCTTACTACCCCCGGTTCATCTGCTACGCTAGGCCCGGGCATTTTGAGGGCCGTCTGCAACTTTGCTGTTGTTGTTGTTTTCTTCCACTGTCGTCTGCGATAACCTAGCTCCTATTTTAGCCTTCGATAGAGTTTCTAATCCAAAATCGTAATACGTGCTTTTTGATATTTATTAAATATATTACGAAGTGTAAGCTCGTTATTCATTTTTATTCGAATTTTATTTGTGTACTCCGGCCGGCACGTCTGCTACGGGTCATCGTTTGTTGATCAACCGGCCGCATTCAAGCATACACCAGAGCATACTTAGAGATGGCAGGCATGCTATGTGCTGCCTACCATTGCAAGAACAAGTTTGTGCGATGTGGTGGAAAATCTTTCTTCTGCTTCCTACGTCAACCTACGTACACCTACATCAACAAGTACTTGAATGTACTTTTAAACTACTTCATCAAGCGAGCGAACGAACAACCCGAGAAAGTCACTGGAAAAAGAAATTCGATAGCAAAAAAAGGTGACTCACTGCTCGCACATATAGAAGATTGCTGCCTGCGACCAAAACAATTCTGCGACTCTTTTTTACCATGCAGTGTGAGCTGCACTACGTTATTTATTTCCCCTGTTTTGTTTTTAGTTCGTACCTACGCCGCGAAAGCAAATAAACAAACGTACAACAAGCGGCTGAGAAGAAGGGACGCTTTCTTCTTTTTTTATTAGTTTCGTCTGTTGCTTCCGCTTTGTTTGTTGTGAACTTAACACCGGTGGCGACCACCAGCTATTTATTTGCTGCTCTCCATTTATCTTTCTTTTTTTTTCTATAAGCGCCACAACGATCGTCGTCGTTGAAAGAGTTTTTTTGCCAGCTTCTTTGTTTCATTCGCCGTTGTTCGCTTCTCTTTCCCGTTTCTTTTTATTTTCGTCGGGAATGGCGACACCATCTTTTCTGCAAAGTTCGGTAAGTGTTTGCACGGTCATTTTTATCCTTGCTTCTTGTTTTGTTTTCATGCTCCAGCAGCTCGTGCGATTTCTCTGGTAATATTAACATGTCGATTTTGCATGTTTTAATGATTACGACGTAGTTCGAGTAGCTAAACGCCTTTTTTCCGCTTCCCAGACGCGTTTCAAACGCGTGTGATCCCCTGAAAGGCGTTTGAGACCGCTAAATAAACTGCTCTATCTTTGTTTATGCGCGTGTTGTTATTCGATTGTCGTTGCAGTTGCGATCAGTGGATTCCACTTTGCAAGCGGACTGACCGTATAAACTTTTTTCTGCTGTTAGGGTGACGAAACGGGGCTCGTAAAGCTCGTGGATGTCGCGGAGCCTATACTTTTCCATTGCGTCGACTGCTTTCGTAGACTCCGAGTCCGCTAGAGGCACCACTGTCGCGTTCGCCGCCGCTCCTATGGGTTTTCGGAGGAGTTTCCAGTATTGGCGAAGCTATATCGTATTTGGTTCAAACCTTACGAGGTGTGCCCAATGTGCTGGTTCTCACAGCCTGCCCTGTATTTATCCTTCCTATTCTTACCGAGTTTCGAATTTCTCCGTATCGCACGTGCCACTCCAATATAGGAAGGCATTTGTCCTTAGTGGCGTGTTTTTGGCTCTTCGTTTGTAACGTGAGCCACACTGGCCGAGGTTGAGTAGTTTCGCGTGGCTGGCATAATGAGTCGTGCTCCGTGCTGCTCAATCGCGAGGAGCAGTGATGTCACACGGCGCACAGCTGGCGCGCCGGAGACGCCGCCACCGCGGGCTCCACCGCCACCGCGCGCGCCTTGCCGGGCTGCGCAAGCCCGAGGAGCAGTGACGTCACATGGAGCAGAGCTGGCGCCCCGGAGCCACCATCGCCGCGGGCTCTGCCGCCACCGCGCGTGCCTCGCTGGTCTTCGCATTCCAGAGGAATGACGTCATAGCCGCGGCTGACACAAGCAGACGCCGAGGAAAGCTATACAGACGCTAGTTTACGCTCGTGGAGTGTACATGATGGAACACTAGGACGCCGCTTCACGTCACCATTAAAAGGAGCACTGACAGGCTGCTTATGCTAGCCGAGGTTTTTAGTTGTATGTGACATATGAGAGCCCAACTACCCAGAACAAAATTCGCGGCTTGAAATTCGGTTTCTTTCCGCCCGAAAACCGTCGTTCGAGAACTGGCCGGTTTGAATCGCGCTCACTCTCTTTTCTGTGGGCACGGGCCGTTTTCTAAGGTTTCGACGCGACCACCAAATTTAATCAAAGTCGTGGGTCATTGAAGAAAGACAGTCAATATTAAAAATAGAAAAAAAAATATCAAACCCATTTTTTGTGGCTTCGAAAAAGCTGCGAATGCGTGGTTGAAAAAAAAAAGGTAGCACAGACAACCGGAAGCATTCTGTGCGTTCACTGCGTAACTCTCAACATGGCGTCGTTTCGCGTATCGTTGGACTAGCGGATGGCAGAGGACGACGGGCGTTGACCTCTACTTCAGGACTATCGTTACGGCACCGGCGAATTCTGTTTTCCTTCGAAAAAGAAATTTTCGACCGATCAAACGAACTGATATTCATCTCGTACGACACGCCCGACCAGCAAGCGGATTGCACGAAGATGTCGCCGAGTCGTCGTCCCTTCTCGTGGCTGAAGACATCGCTCGCTCAAACGCCGAGCCCGAAGTGTGTACTTCGAGTTGAATACACACGCGTACGGTTTCTTTACGAGGTGCGAATATGGCTGCGTGGTGCTGCCCGACTTCAAGGCGGGAGTGCATGTATTGAAGGGAAATCGGCAGCAAACTTCCGACATACAGTCGACCTGCTTCATTACTACGCACGGAAGACTTCCCTCAGTAGCTCAGTGGAACGACGTCCGCTTCACACGCAGAGGGCACGGGTTCGATGCGTAATGTGGGCGTACCTGTTTTTTTTCTTGTCGAGCATTTTGCGATTTTTACATTTCTTTTTTTACAATTATCATTGAAAAAGGAAACCATTGTTGTGGACAACACGTCGCTGAACTAAATGGTATGGGATTCCATTTTTGACACCTGCGAACTCAATGTAGTCACGTTCCACAAAATGCAAGGAGCATATGAATCGGGTAGCGTCCGCTCTCCGAGCTTCGCGTAACTGTTCTACAGTAGTTGCATGCAGCCATTGATCCCGACCCGTTGCTCTTTCGGAAACCTGTGCACTCTGCCGCACAATGCCACCTTCAGATGCAGGACAGGTGAGAGGCAGCTCTTCACGCAATATTTTGGGAGTATTCTTTTCGGATCCGATTACGAGAATTCGCCACGGGCACTCACTACTAATTTCCGACACTTAAATGTACAAAGCATCTCATCTTGAAGTACGGAACAGTGGAACAGTGAACGAGTGTAACAGTGTAACAGTGAAGAACATAACAGTGAAGAACAGTGTAACAGTGTAACAGCGTAACAGTGAACAGTATCGCACGGCGAACGATCGCAATTCGTCTGCTACGTGCGAAGAAAAAACAAACAAAAAAACTTGCACGGTTGGGGGTAGCCACGTCATTTCCGCTACTCCCCCACTCTATCCTTTCCACTTCTCCGTGGAGTGGGGGAGCTTCCGTTTCGGTTTCAAGCAGTTACGTTTTTTTAGCTTTATAAAAAAAAAAAAAAATACGTGACTCTGTAGCCAAATATTAATTGGGTAGAATTTCGACACCATAATAAATAGCGTGACAAGAAAGGGAAGAAAATATTTTTGGGGGTGTGAGTGTCCCTTTAAATGGCATTTCTCGCGGACGCTATCGGACGCGCTTCTTTTGTGGTCGCGTCTCGTGAACGCTACAGCTCCCCCTGGCCGAGAGGAACAGACCTACAGCCATCAAGAAGGAGAGTGAAATTGCTGCTTAGCGACGCAGAAGACCGGAGAAGCCCTTCTGCGCATCTCCGCTGATCGGAACCCGAAGCAGTTGCCTGGCAATTAGCGGTTGAGCGTAGTAAGAACAACCAGAAGAAGGCTAAACGTGCTGCGGAGACACCCGAGCAAAGGGAGGAACGTCTAGAAAGCGGCGTCGCCAGGAGGCTGAGCGACGTGCCCGACCATCTCAGCAGCAGCAACAAAGAGACGCCGTTGATGACGTCAAGGCTCGCCGATTGGCTGACTATAGGCTGAAACTTAGCGAAAGCGCCAGTGCGACTCGGACCTTCGAGACGGACTTCGTAACCAATCCGTTTGAATATGTGTGCGATGTGTGTGAATGAGTGTCACATGAAGGACTTGACGCAGGTAAGTAGTGCCATGCGTGAGACGTTGAGTTTAGCGGCGCCGCCTACTAAATGGGGAACCACCATTGATCTTGTGTATCAGAGACAGACAATCGATTCCAAATACTGCTTTGGGACCATAGATATGGCAGCGCGTTACTATACTGACCACCGAACCGTCTTTGTGGCAATAGAAAAGCAACCAGACGTTGAGGAAAAAAAAAATAATAAGTATACATGTGTCACATAATGCGTATACCGTCTGTGTGCCATTGAAGCAGCAGTAAGCATGATAATCAAGCTAATTCTAGACAACCAGGAAAGCTAAGTATAACCAGCTGAACCTCAGTTCA